ACTTCATGAGAAGATAGGGATTAAGTGAGACATGAATCCCAAAATAGTTACATAGATAGTCTACTATTAATGACTTGGATGATAATCCTCCAGATCTTAGATATCTGTTAATTGTTACCTGATGCCTTTAATTTTGGTATGCACGAGAGTGTTTTGGATTTTGCCAAAGTAAGAGCACAGCACTGAGAAGAAGTGCTAATGATCATTAGGTGCCTGCTGTACAAGAAAAGAGGCACCCTAAACTATCAGAAAGCAAGGATTTTTATAGAAGTTGAGGACTATAAGGCAGGAAATCCTAGACATCTTATTGGCTGGCCAGTTTGGGCAAGTTAGGTAGGTCCTTGGCAATGTACATGGGGTGAGTTCTACAGTTACAAAAGTGAGACTTTCAGGATGGCACTAAAACTAGAGAACCCCACTGTTAAGGAGATGGAATATTGGACTCATCAGCTGATAGAATATGCAAGGTTGGAGTTTCTCTAGGTTGCCATTTTTTTTTTATCCTTGGGCTATACTGTGAGCTGATAAGGGCTTCTGTTCTTTGGTTGAGATAGGATTGCAAGGGGGCTTTGTTTTGGGCAGTGAAAGTCAGTTTGGCTTTGATGGGATTAGGCAAAGAGAGGAACTAGGTTTTACCCTTGAAATATCCGAAGGATGGGGAGAGGGGCACAATTTCCATTTTTAGGTTTAGTGTTTCACCTCACTGAGGCCCATTTTTGGAAAAAATTTTGGAAACTCCAAAGTGATAGAAGCCAATTTCAACAGCAAATCAACAAGGTGTTTTTTTTTTTACTGAACTTGTTATTTTTAGAATAGATTACTTTAAAAATAACAATTAAATAAATAACCTGGAAAATTAAAAACAAATAAAAGACCCAGACATATATGTGATGTGCTCCTGTCACCCTAGTTGCTTCCTCAAAAGAGGGGAGGGGGAATAGATGTGGCCATTGACAAGCATAATATTGCTCACCTATGCTTTCACCAGGAATGCTCAAAATTAAATAACTATAAGCACAGTCTCACCTGTGTGACCTTCTTCTACCCCTGTAATTCTTTGAGTCCAGGCAGTGATCTTCAGCAATATAGAGAATATGAAAAATATAATTAAATACATATCTGGCATCATATTCTGTTACTCAAAAACTCTCTTACATTTTCCACTGTCTTTCCTCTACAATTATTTTTTGGGTTAGTATATTTATACCCAACTGTATGAAAAGCTAGATGTTTTCTGAATAATGCTATAAAAAGTTGTAGGCAAACTAGTATCTCCTGAAAAAAAGTTACAGTTTCTATTGTCCACCTCTGCTGTTTCAGCTTGCATCATGAAAATTAGTAGGAACTATAGTATCTTTTTTAGGGATAATTGTCGTAGATCTCTATTTTTCATCCATTAGTCCTTAAAAGCTCTCTGTTTGTGCAGAGAGAGTGGAATTCCTTTTCATATTATATTAATGTTTCTGCTTAACTGCCAGGAAGTCACAAAGTGTTGTGTATTTAATTTCTTATACTGATGGATTCATGCCAGGGGTGAAATCTAAAATTTGTTACTACCGGTTCTGTGGGCGTGGCTTGGTGGGAGGGGGGTAATGTGACTGGGTGGGCGTGGCCAACTTTTTTTTTTTCTTTTAAAAGCATTTTTTCTACAACCTTAAGAGGTTGCAGAAAAAAATGCCTTTAGAAGCCTCTGACGATCAGGCAACTCAGCTGGGATCGCCAGAGGCTTTTAAAGGCATTTTTTTCCCCTACAACCTCTTTGGCCAAACGGGTTATAGAAAAAAATGCTTTTAAAAGCCTCTGACAATCCCAGCTGAGCCGCACAATCATCAGAGGCTTTTTTTTTTTTAACTTTTAAAAGCATTTTTTCTACAACCTCTTTGGCTGAAAAAATGCTTTTAAAAGTTTAAAAAAAAAACCAACAGCCTCTGATGATCAGGAGATCTGGTCCGAACCGGGAGCATTTCACCCCTGATTCATGCCCATTTTTGTTCATGGGTATTTTTATGCCACATATTTATGTGAAAAATTAATCTTCAGAAAAAGTTGTACAACACAGATAAAGGAATACATAACTATTAAAATATCAATCAAAATATGTTCAGTTCATAGCTGTAGATCAGTTTTCCATCATGATTTGTTCCAGAGATATTTGGACTACAAATCCAAGCATTTCCAATTATCATAGTATCGAAGTGTAGAAACCTGACATCAGTCATCAATTTACTGCTATTTGGGATGAAATAACAAGTATAACGAAGATCAGATATATTATTTGAAATGTGACTAAAATGTTGCTCTATTGTTTTCCCTTTTCTTAACCATGCTACTTCCTCTGATAGGTTTTCCTAAAAATCAAATTAAAAAATAAAAAGGGTTATATACAAAATTAGTTAATCTTCATCTCAGACAAATCAGCACCCAGATAACAGTTGGTATTGTGTTTTTCCAAATATAACAACTGAGTTCTCCATAATTCAATATTTCAAAGTGCACATTTAAACATATATTTTGAGAGGGAGAAAACACTTGAAATCCTTCTTAGAACATATTCCAGGTTTTTTTCCCCCATCATAGACTAATAGAAAAATGGATAACATGTGCAAATATCAGCATGAACTGACAGTATATTGCTTCAGCTTTGCTCTTTCCCTCAACCCTACACAGTGTATGAAGCAGGAAAATTGATAATTGCAAAACATTCTTATCACTACTTTGTCCATCCTTTGCTATGCCTGCTAAAGACGTCAAGTAGTTACCAGTCATTTCAGATGAAATAGTTGGAAAATCCTTTTACCAGAGATCATGAAGAGCCATTGTCTGCTGATGCATTAAAAAGTAGATAAATGCTAAAGGATTGACTCATGTCTCAAAGGTGATTTTTTTTCAAAAGGCAACTGGATTTCTTTGTTTTTCCTTTAAGACATTTCACTTTTTATTCAAGAAGCTTCTTGAATAAAGCTTCAGTTCTGAACTAAAGAAACTTCTTTGATGAGAAGTGAAACATCTGCAAGGAAAAGCAAAGTCCAGTTGTCTTTTGAAAAAAGCACCTTTGGGACAACCATGACCTGAATGACTGAGAATCCCATGGACTAGTAGACTCATGTGCTTGTATCATTTACATATTCTCCATCACTGTGCAAAAATACTCAAGTACATCATAATGTAGACAAGAGGGTTATGCAAAGATTCTTGAAGGAACTGTGGTAGCAACAATGACATACTATAGATCTGAATAATCAAATGAAAACCATGTATGTTTTTAAAAATAATTGGTTTGTACTGCATTTGGGAATATGGAAATCTGTAATATGGGAAAAATGTTGAAATATGTGTCATAAATTCATCAAATGATGGGACACAAGCAGGGGTGCATTCTACTTACCTTTACTACTGGTTCGCAACGGGAGCACACGCACTTCTGTACATGCACAGATTGCAAAATATGACATCAGGGTGGTGGGCGGAGCCTCCCACCGCTTTTACTACCGGTTCACAAGAACCAGAGAGAACCGGAGCAACCCACCACTGGACACAAGTAGTTTTGTGCCTGTTTTCATCAGATGTGAGATACCTAGATGTCCAACCCAAGATGGTAACTTTGGACCAATCACTTTTTGTCAGTCCCAGGAAGAAAGCAGTGTCAAACCACTTCCAAATTTTTTTCCAAAAAGAACTGCATGAATTTGTCAGTTATCAGAAGACTTAAAGGCACCTAACTAAATAAATATTCAAGAATTGGAAAGAAAGTTGAAAGAAAATGCAACTGCTCTTTTCCCTATAGTATTGGAAGTTGAATTAAAAACCTATAGTAAGAATGAGCAACAAGATATATCAGTATCAGTGTTTATAGTAGAACAGTGTTTCTCAATCTTGGCCATTTTAAGAGGTGGGGACTTCAACTCCCAGAATTCCCCAGCCAGCATAAGGAATTCTGAGAGAGGAAGTCCACACCTCTTAAAGTGGCCAAAATTGAGAAACACTGTGGTAGAATAATATTCCCCTCATGTTGCCTTCCAGAAATGTTGGATTTCAGCTTCCATCATGCCTGGTAAGTACTGCCCCATTCAAAAAGTATCTAGCTAGAGAAGGCTAACGGTAGGAGGTGGAAAGAAATTGTAACCCTATAACAATAGCAATTGCGTTTAGGTTTATTTATATTGACCCATAGCATTTTACAGCACTCTCTGGATGATTTACAGTGTACAAGTATTATTTTCATATTGCCCCCAACAATCTTGGTCCTCATTTTACGAACCTTGGAAAGATGGAAGGCTGAATCAACTTTGAGCCACGTCAGGATCGAACTCCAAGGTGCAGGCAGAGTTTGCCTGCAATACTGCACTTCAACAATTACATGACCCATAAGGGTTTTGTGTTAGTCATTCAACACTCTCCACCAAATTCTTCTTAATGAACAATGTAAAAGTATAATTAACAAACACATTTGCAAAGGCTACTTTACATAATCACACATAGAAAAATGTAAACTTCAGGGAGCATCCAATTAAAGCTCACATGCAGTTGAGACAGAAATGAAGGTGTAGTTTTTTTTTATTAGTTAGATGTTCCATGTTAGAAGAACTGCCACCAGGGCAGCAGGGTATATACTTACATAGTCCCCTCCACATACAAATACCATGTATTTTGAAGTTATTGCTTGTGTAATGGCATCTCTACAAAAAGCTTCACACACAAAGTGTCAGAATACTGTGTAAACCTGGAGACATGAGAGCCTAAGATATTGTGTTTGTCACAGAGTGGAAGATGAATTAACACCCACTTCTGACTGTGACAAGGCTGAGTTGTAGGTGAAAAGTTTCTTACAAATTGTCTGCATTCTGCCTTGGGAGCCTGTCTCGGTTACAGTAATGCTTTGTTTCTTCTATGACCACCCCTGGGTTGTATTGGTCCAGAGCAAACACTGTCTCTTTTCAGTCAGGACATTCCTAATATTAGTTTCCTTTTCTTCCTCCCCCCCCACCCTTCCTCCATTCCAGATTGCAAAGACTGGTGGACGTCCTAAGGAAGAAGATTGGAGCAGGGTCCATTAGGATGGTGATCTGATAGAAAGCACCAGTCTAAGGAAGCATTCACATCTGGAGACCAGGCTGCTTCATTCAGTGCTATGTAAACATTAAAGCTTTAACTTAGCAAACAGTTGTTAGAAGTGGGACACTCCAACGACATTCCAAGCCGAGATAAAATCAAATCATAAATGTTTAACCACTTGGCTGCTGAGATCTGAGATTTATCCAAAGGTATTTGGTCAAATTTACTTTTGTAGCAGATCTATTTTGGTACATTTAGTGAACCGTGTGGTTGTCTGCAGGAGTCTCTGGTTAATGGTCAATTGTTCTTTATGGAGTTCTTACTTTTTATTTCTAACTTAAGGTTCAAAATACTGTAGAGTGTTCCTAAACTCTTACATTCTCTGGATTGAATAGAAATTTTTAAGACTGGCAAAAGATGCTGAAATGTAAGGTGCTTCTAAAGAAAAAAGGGAAACCCAGAGAAAAAAATATCTATTCCTAATATGCTGTCAACTGTCATATTACTCCTAAGGTCTATTGATTTTTTATGAGTGCCCTGTTGGTGAATGAGAATATTTACCTGCCAGACAGGGGCATATATGCTGTGTTCATGTTGAATATTTTATATGATTGTTGTTTGCCTAAATAAGAAAAAAATAAAAAAATAAAAAAATTGGTTGAATCAATACTTTATACTTAAAGTTGATGAATGAAAACCAATGACACATATATGTGAACCCTACACTATTTCAGACACTATCATAAATCTTAAGAAACGCAAATAGCTCTAAAAATTACAATAAACATTTATTCCACCAAATGATGTGGAACGCATGAAGTTGTAAAACAGCAGATATTCATGACTGTTCTCTGCATTGTACAGAGCAGACTAGCATGGTTACCCTTGAAGGAGAAATAGGAAAAAAATCTGTTAAAAATTCCAGTTTTTTTCATTTTCAACTCTCACTTTTATTGTAAAATATACTTTATAGAATCTTCCGCACATTTATTAATTTTTAAGATGTATGTCTATCCAACTTAAATAGTGTGACTCTGGGCAGTGTAAAGCATAAAAAACACTAAAATTTAAAGAAACAAACAAAACTACCACATATACAAAATATAATATGGTGACCAAGTATGCAAGGAAAGGGATGTGGTGGCTCAGTGACTAAGAAGCTAAGCTTGCCGATCGAAAGGTCGGCAGTTCAGCAGTTTGAATCCGTAGTGCCGCATAATGGGATGAACTCCCGTTACTTGTCCCAGCTTCTGCCAACCTAGCAGTTCGAAAGCATGTAAAAATGCAAGTAGAAAAATAGGGACCACCTTTGGTGGGAAGGTAACAGCGTTCCGTGCACCTTTGGCATTTAGTCATGCCGGCCACATGTCCACAGAGATGTTTTCGGTCAGCACTGGCTCTTTGGCTTTGAAACAGAGATGAGCACTGCCCCCTAGAGTCGGGAACGACTAGCACATATGTTCGAGGGCAGGGGCGGGTTCCAAATCCCATCACTACCAGTTTGTTAGTGTGTGTGTGCGCATGATGGGGCGCTGGCGCGCACAGCACTTCTGCGCATGCACAGAAGCAACCGGGCAGGTGGGCAGAGCCTCCTCCGCCACCACTACCAGTTCGCCTGATCTGGTGCAAACCGGTAGCAACCCACCACTGTGCAAGGGAAACCTTTACCTTTACCTTTAAGTATGCAAGAAAAAAACCAAAAGAGGACTCTCACTGTATTGAATCCAATTGCCTTGGGAAATACACTCTAATATCAAAGGATATAGGTTGCTTATTGCTTGCATAAATACATTTTTTACTTTGATAAAAATATATCCTTACCCAGGTGCCCAGGTAAAGTTAATAGCAGCAGGAATCTTTAATCTGATGCCTTTTTGCTATATGAATAAGCAGTTCTGCTCCCCACATTGAACTCACCTGGACTGGAAGAACTCTTAACAATTTTGGGGGTAAAAACTTGCCTGAGCAAGACTTCCTGGCTTTTATATATCTGTCATTTCTACTAAAGGAGGCAGAGGGACAAAATAATATCCCCTTTTCTCATTTCAGTGATAATGTGTTAGGGTTCTACAACAAGATGGTTTGAGAAGGTAAGAGGTAAGTCATATTACTTACAACATACACAACTCAATCTTTTAATAGAGATAAAGCCAGCTAACCATTTTTCCTTGATTCTGCCTTTACACCAGCAGTCCCCCAACCTTTCTTACTTCCCTGATTAATGAACATGCTAAATTGGAAATCCATACTGTTTTAAAAGACAAAATAATGAGGGAAATGGACGGTTCAGAAATGTGAAATATAAATAAATAAAATTAATAAAGATTATAAAATAAATAATTATGTATTACATGGCCAATACATTATTAAAAAATAGTAAGCAAGGCATATAATAACAAGACCTGGCAATGCCTAAGAGCAGGAAAATTGAAGAAAGAGACAGAGGGGCTAATTCTGGCTGCACAAGATCAAGATCAAATGCATACAAATTCAGAATTGAGAAGACAGCAACAGGCAGCAAAGGCCGCCTCTGCCAGGAAGCTGAGTAAACCACCAGAGAAGAAACAGTGAACCACCTAGTTAGCTGCTGCAAGATTGTGCAGACTGACTACAAACAACGGCACAACAAAGTAGCAAACAATGGAACATCTGCAAGAAATACCATTATTATTGCAAAAGAACTAATGGAATCATAAAGTAGCTAATAGAAATGAAGAAGCAAAAGTGCTCTGGAACTTTACAATTCAAATAGATAAGAACCTGCCACATAACACCCCAGACTTAAGGCTTATCAATAAGAAAGACAAAAAGTCTGAATAGCGGACATGGCTGTACCTGGAGACAGCAAAAGAAAAGAGAAAGAACTAGAGAAAATCCAAAATACAAAGCCTACAAATAGAAGTGGAATGATGTGGCAAATGAAAGCAAAGATAATACCAATAGTAATAAGTGCAATCACAAAGCATCTGGAGCATCAACTGAACACCAGCAGCATTGACAAAATCACTATCAGTCAATTGCAAAAGGCAGCTTTATTTGGAACAGCAGACATCCTGTGACAATAATCAAACAACATCTACATCTCTCAGGTCCTTGAGAAGGACTTGATAGGTGGATAAAAATACCAACTCCAGTCTGAACATCTGGCTGACTCTGCGACGAACCATAATATAAAATGAATAGCATTTTTAAACATTTTGGTTTATTTTAAGAGGAAAAGAAGAACCGAAAGAAGTTGGAAGCAATATTATAGATATGGTTAGACTTCAGAGCCAAAATCCAGGAGGTTCCAGTGGCCAGACGAAGAGTAAGTTTATTACTGTCCCACTGCATGGCATTTTCTGGGTGACTATTGTAGAAGCCAAAATTTCAGTCAAGGTCCAATCCTAGCTACACCATGCTTCCAGTCTCTTGGAAACAACTGCCTACAACTCCTATCATGAGGAATCCACTTCACTCTCTAATAGGTGTGACACCGGTTCCTCAGCTCTGACGTATAACTCTGATTTAGTTCCTCATTCTCTTTCACAACTTCTTATAGCTGTAGCATGATGACACTGAGCCCAAACTCTGACTTATGTTGGCTCCTTTGAACAGAATTTGTGAGACTATTTCTAATTTTGCACTGAAAATGACTTTCCCTTTCTCAAAGTTCAAAGGCAGATACTTTTTCTATCATCACCGTCCCACTGACAAAGATAACAAATTTAACTACCACTGTGAGTAGTGTTACTATTACTTCAGTGCTACATAAAGATATTGTGTATTTTTCTGTGGGATTCCACAGTGATCTGTGAGCCATCCATGGTCATGTCATGGTAAAATATGTAAATAGCATCACGTTTCAGAGTAAGAATATTATTAAAGCTTTTCAGCACTGTAATTAGATTCATGATAAGCCTTCCCTAAGCCCTTACTAATTAACTGTATTGCAACAAGTCAACTTGAACAGAGAACAACTGAGGACCTTTACCCATCCAACAAAGTTTCCTATGCAGCCCCAAATCATTATGTGACCATGGTAATTTGTAAAATAAAAACCCTATCTCTCGATCCTGATGTCCTCTTACATCTTCAAGGAGAGCTCTGGGTGTACAGCATATCAAATGGCTTACTCAACCTAAACTTATAGGGTCTTGGATTTCTCTCTGAAGTTAGTACATTCTAATCATTCTAAATACTTTTATCTGCTGGTGAAACCAGCTGTACCCAATCTGGAATGTCTTTTAGATCAACTTTTTCCAATGTGGTATTCCCCAGATCTTTTGAACCTCAGCTCCAAGATTGACCACTTAAAGCTGTGGTGGCATATTGGTTAGAATGCAGTATTGCAGGCTCTAACTCCACCAACTGCCAGTAATTTGATTCTGCCTGGCTCAAGGTTGATTCATCCCTCCATCCTTTCGAGGTCAGTAAAATGTAGACCCAGATTGTTGATGGCAATATGTTGACTCTGTAAAACCGCTTAGAGAGGGCTGTGAAGCATTATGAAGCGGTATATAAGTCTAAGTGCTATTGTTATTGCTATCTCCCATAATGCTGGTTATGAATTAAGGGGTTGAATGAATCTGGATGCACTGAATTAGGGAAGCTCTCATAGATAGTAGGGCTTTCTCCGCTAATTGTGGAGCAGGTACCACAATGTTATGCAAGTTGAGCCATATGGACTGTGGCTCTGAATCAGCTAATGCTTATATTATTGGGGCTGATCAGCCACCAAGTGGGGTTTTTTTTAGCAATGGGACAACAAAATCTGCTTCATTGCGGAAGTCCATAGTTCAGTATATACTCCCAATAAAATAATATTTTATAATGTAACTGAACAAAGTAGATCATCCCAAGAGATATTGGGGGAAATAATCAAAACTACTTTGAAAATATGGGGCTTGCTTAGTATATGTTATCGCTTTGGTCCTTAATAAATAATGTGATTGTCAGAAGTAAATGCCTTATTCCCTAATGTGTAAATAATGTATATATGGGATATCGGGGGTTAACTTATTCTTTGTTTCCTAATGTATTCATGATTCACCACTCCCATCCTTGACTCCGCCCCCCTGTATATATAAGGAGCCACCCTCACCATTTTCCTTGCTTCTATCTGTGAATATTCAGTGAATATAGAATGCCTGTTATGATTAAAGAGAAATATATTTAAACCTCTAATCATTATTATTATTATTGAGTCTGATCCTAAAAATATTGCAATAAACTGGTAGCAGAGGATGGTTAATTGACTCAATAAATAATTAAAAATGTCTAAGAAAGATAGGCCCAACACCAGGGCCTACAACAAAGAAATAGAAACTGAACAAGAAATAATCAACGAATCCACAAACGCGATTTCGAGAGAATCCGAAGAGTACACCACAGAAGAAGAAGAACTAATAAATGAAAATAATGACCAGGAGGAAATCGAAATAGAAAATAACGAACTCAGGTCAGAAATATTAAAGCTATTAAAAAGCCAGAAGAATGATGAAAGTCTCATCGCGAATCTCCAAGAAATGCTGAAGAACAGCGGAGCAGCGAGAGAGAAAAACATCGCTAAAGAGAAACCCAAAGACCAAAAAACTGTGAGTGATATGACTACAGAGAAAGTCATTATGAAAAAGAAAAGATGTGATACCGCGCGAAATTTTGAATGGCAGCCATCTTGGTTTCAACAAGCCTCCAAAGGGAGCGAAGCAGAGCCAATCAAAATGCTCAGTTCAAAATTTCTGGCGCGAAAAACGTTATCAGACAACGAAAGTGAAAAGGAAGATTCGAAATCTCCAGAAGAACCCGAATCAGAAAGCGAAGATGATTTAACCAAATCCCAAATAAAATCAGCAATGAAGACGCTTTTTGCTGCATTTGGGCCAAAATTAAAAATTTCCAAAGCGTCAACGAAGAAGCGAGAGAACAAGCCGATACCTCAAGACCTACACGCTCCCATCCTGACTTCGAGAGCGACGACGCCCGAGCCCAGAGAGCCATGCCGATTCCGCCCCACGCCGCAGACCGGATCAAACATCAACGCACACAAGAGAAAGAGAAGAACAGTCGCCGCCATCAGAACTCCTAAAACCGAGCCAGAGACCGACTCGTCTGAAGAGGAGCAGAGCGAACGAGCTGAAATGGAGAGAACCTTCCACGACGATGCCAAAGAAGAAATGAGCAACGCGCATGTGCGAAACCACGTAGACGGTCCGAAAGACTTGAACTGGCCAGAGAACCACGCAGACTCGTTGCGAGCATCCCCATGCCGTTTTGCAATTTCCTGCACTTGCGAGATCACGGACTACCTCAGGTTGTAAGTAATGGACAAAATAATGTGGGAAATTTACCCAGTGACTTCCCAAAACTTAGAGTTGATGGCATTAATTTACAAGAGTGGTATCAACAGCTCCAGGTTGTATTTATGAAAGAAAATTTACTATTCTTTATCACTAGTCCTCCAAGAAGACCTTGGACTTTAAAAATAGATTGTTTACATCATAGAGCATTCTTCTTAATAATATCTAGCGTATCTCCAGCAATGTATCATAGTATCAAACCAAACCTAACTGTCTCAGAAATAATTCAATGCATGTTTAATCTGTTTCACAGCGACAGTGTAGCTACCACTACAAGAATGTCTAAGGATTTCTTTTCTTCTAGAGTAAAACCAGGTAAGCTGTTTCCATAAGTGAGCATTTGATATCTCTAAACAAAATAAGAGCTGAGCTGCATCTGAGGGGGGAAGTGATTTCAGATCAAACAATGAAAAGTGTTATTATCAATTCACTTGATTCATCATGGGATAGTTTTATGTCACACTTAGACACCATCAATCTAGGATATTTATCCATAGAGAGTCTATCTAACAAATTGATAGCTGAAGACAATTCAAGAAAAAATCGTTCTAGCAATCACACAGAACACAAATCTTTTAGGAAGGTAGCTTTCCAAGAAAAATACAATGAAACTTTTAAATGCCACAATTGTGGGTCCAGGGAACACAATAGAAGAGACTGTCCCAAAACATCAAAGGAGAGACATAGGCCAGAATATAGAAGCAGATACAATTATAAACAGTCTTCCACAGATAGATATAAATATAGAAGCCCACCAAATTACAGAGAAAGTAGAGGGGGTAGAGAAAATTCAAAAGAGAGAAAATCTGGTTCACTGAATGGACTAAATAAACAAGACTGCACAAAAACACAACAAAATGAGAACAATAATTGGCTTATCGATTCTGGGGCAACCAATCACACCACTAATAACAAAAATATTTTGTCTTCATTTACAGAAGATAAGTTTGTAATAAAGGTAGCTAATCAAGAAAAGGTTCAAGTATTAGGCAGAGGAAACATAACATTGCCTGGTCTAGGAAAAATAGAGGGGGTATTGTTAATTCCTGAAATACCTCATAACATACTAAGTGTCATAAAACTAAGTAGAGATTCTGATATCAATATAGTTTTCTCAAAGGGGAAAGCAACTTTAGAGAAGGACAAAACAAATGTAGGTACTGTGATGATTAAAGGAGGCCTACCCTATCTGGTAACAAAAGAAAGATGGTTACATAACATTGACTCAAATATGGAAGATTGTACTGAGGCAGATGATGAAAATGTTAGTAACAGTGACAATGATGAATGTGAAATATCTCATGATCACACAAATACACACAAAGAGAAGAAACCAAGAATAGGTAAACCAATTCATGATGAGTGTGCTCACATCTTACATAGGAAGTTAGGACATGCAAGTTTTCCTGTAGTACAAAAAATGACTGAACACGCAGAAGGTGTCAAAATAAAAAATTGTGAAAATTATTTGGAATGCTCAGTATGTAAATCCACTAAACTAAAAACTAGTCCCAGACCAAAAAAATCTAACAGAACAACTAACAAAATTTTTGACTTAGTACATATGGACTTAGTTGGTCCATTAACTCCATCAATCACCTATAGAAAACGTTACTTCCTAACAATAGTAGATGACTACAGTCGCTATGGTTTTGTTTACACATTAAAACACAAGGATGAAACCTTTCAGAAATTTAAGGAATTCTACAAACGCATAGAAACACAACATAATATCAGAATAAAACAAATTATGACAGATAGGGGATGTGAATTCATGTCTAAAGAATTCTCCCAATGGTTAAAGGATAGAGGAATGCTACATTTCACATCTAGTCCATTTTCTGCATTCCAAAACGGGATTGCAGAGAGAAAGAATTCCACACTACAAACCATGATTAGGTGCACATTAGAGGATGCTGGTTTAGGCAAACAATTTTGGTCAGAAGCCTTACATTATTCAAATTACACTCAAAATAGAACCTGGTCCAGTATTGTGAATAAAACACCATATGAGGTGATGTATAATAGAAAACCCAAATTAGCACACATGCACATATTTGGAGTCACTGCAGACGTACACATACCCAAGCAGTTGAGAAGAAAGGGAGAAAACGTATCCAGAAGATTAAGATTTATGGGATATGAAACTGGCACCAAAGGGTACAGATTCATTGATAATAATAACAAATTTATAGTCTCCAGAACAGCTGTGTTCCATGAACAAGCCAATTGGTCTAAATTACATCTTAACGAAATATTTCCAGATAAATGCAAAGATACAAAATCTTGTGAGGAAGGAACAATAGAAAATCAAAATATCAACAAAAATACAAACAAAACCAAAACTTGGACAAATAGTCAGCACAAAATAAAGACAGACACATTAACTAAAAAGATATGCAAGATATTTGCATGACAAACATAGCAAACCTGAAAGAGCTATTAGAAACAATAGAAATCAAATACCAGGTAAATACAGAGATTACATAATGCATATGGATGGTGAACAAATAACACCTAATACATATGAGGAAGTATTAAAACTCCCTTATGAAGAAAAAGAAAAATGGGAACTAGCTATGAAAAAAGAGATGGAAAGTTTGCAAGGATTAAATGTATTCACACCTGCGACTGCACCTAAAGATAAAACAATCATAGGTACTAGGTGGATTTATAAAATTAAGAATCTAGAAGGAGGCAATACTCTATACAAAGCCAGATTAGTTGCACAAGGTTATGCACAAAAATATCCGGAGGACTATACTGATACATACTCTCCCACAGTGAGAACAGAGAGTGTTAAAACAGCTCTGGTAGTGGCTTCTGCACTCAATCTTGATGTATTTCAATATGACATACAAACTGCGTACTTACACGCAGAACTAGATAAGGAAATATATGTAAGGGCACCACACAGTCAATACACTAATAAGAATGAAATCTGGCTATTGAACAAGAGTCTATACGGATTAAAACAATCTGGCAAAAGATGGTATGATTGTTTGGTAAAAGTACTTAAGACCATGGATTTTAACGCTACCACCGCTGATAACTGTTTCTTTGTAAAAAA